TCAAAGGAAAAGTCAGAAAATTTAGTTTAACTCAGGGAAATTAAGAATTCAAGGAAAGACTGGAAATTGAATAACACTATAAAGTACTGATTTTTTACCATTGAAGACTGGAAGAAACAGTTGAGATCACTGTAATCTCAACAATGTTTTTCCTTAATGAAGAATGATAACTGTTGCTGTCAAGGTAACTACCATGGCTTTAAGTGGAGGCTGGAGGCCATGTTTGTAATTTATCTTTCATGTCAGGGAAATTTTATGTTTATCAGGGAAAAGTTGGGTAAGTAATTTTTGAAAACTAAAATCTGTGGCAACCATGGACTGGACAGTGCCAGTCTTCACCCGAACAACTTGAAAAAATGCTGGTGGGGGTTAAAGTGTGAGAGACTAGCATGTTAAACAAGGGGACTGGAGTTACTGAAGTAATATTATGGATGGTCTCTTAAATTTATATTACAAAAACCAGAGTTGTGTAGCATTATTGACGATGAGCCATCAGTCTCCTCCAGTTGCTGTATTAGATCAGAAACTAACTGTTTTGGTGAGTTTGTTTCAAGATTTTCTTGTGTTCTATGACTATTACCATAAAATTACAAAACGCAAAATTACATGACTTACCATTTCATTGTGATCCCACATTCCGTGATTTGACAATTTGATTTTCAATATCTTCCACGCATAGTCCCTCAAAGAACGGTTGAATTGCTGAAGATAATGAAGGTAAGTACCTTGTAAGCCATACATTTATTAGAATAAAGATAGTATCATGACATATCATGACATAAGGGGTGTAGCATCATAGGCCTGCAATATCTGCAGAACGTATCATCCAGGGCCAGTAATGCTAGATATAGATGGTAGGAAAGGTTAAGTCTGCATACGAGCCAAGTGGCCCATGAGGTTTCAGCAGCATGAAGAGATTATGAGTATTTCTACTCCACCCTGGATGGGATGCTAGTCCATTGCATGGCTACCCCCAGCATTAAATTTGGCGGTACCCATTTATACACCTGGGTGGAGAGAGGCATTGTCAGAGTAAAGTGTCACAGCACAATGTCCTTGACCAGGGATCAAACCAGAACTGCTTCATCCTTAGGCGAGCACACTTACCACGAGACCACCGCACCTCCATGCTAGATATAGGTACTTTGCTATTTATCACCTTGACATTGAATAGGGTAAAATTGACTGCTGAGGCAAGTTTTTGAAGCAGAGCACTTGCTCATTGATGCAGTACTTGTAAGAGTTTCTTTTAGCCCTAATTTACCTTTAGTTACAAAGGGATGGTTGTCTAGGTCATTTTTATGGATCACAGTTTCCACATAACTGTATATAATATTTTTTACCTTTGAACCAGTCCATCCTAAAAGAGCAAATGGGAACTGTTTTGGTGGAGTCACAATCAAGTCTACTCTCCTCACTGCTGACCCTCCCCTCCCCCCAGTACGTGTATCTGTTGTATCCGTGTGCGACTCTGTCGTGTCAGTTTTAGGACTGGCTTGTATCGTTTCCACTGTTTCATTTTCCATCTTTGTTTCTACTTGGAACATGCAGAAGCAGTGATCAAGGCTATCCATGTGGCCTCCTTGCCTAATGTAAAAACAAAACAAAAAACAAAGAGAAAATGCTGCAAAATTTTGCCTTTGAAATAGCTTGAAAGGAAAACTACCCTCGCTCAGTTCTGCTGAAATCTGTGTCACTGTAGTGAAGTTTCTTGGATCGGTTGATACTCAGCACTGAATTTTTGTACACAAATCAAAGTATGAATTCACAACACTACACTACACCAAGATCAGGAAACCCTGCAATATACTGCTGGAAAAAAATGTCCCTCAACAACAATACTTTTAGCAGCTTATGACACATGGAAAAATGACAATGTTAACATCGAAAACAGTCTTTTGATGCTCAAAGTTTGCAGTTTTATTTTTTGAAAACTGAATTGTTTCCCCTGTATTGCAACGCGCATCCTTACTGCGCATAATTTATGGCGTCATTAGCACG